CCAGATATAACAATGGCCACTGCAAGTGGGAATGTATAGTTACAGTACTCCTGCATTATCAACAAGGGGAAAATCTGAAGTTGCTTCTTGGTAACTTAGACTAGAACATCATACAAGCAAAAGTAAAAAGGACCAACATCAACACTTTTGGATGACTTTGTAAATTACATACTGGTCACAGTAAGGACAATCCCCTCCCCAGTGGACAAAACCTTAATAATGAAATAAGTATTTAAGTTATAATTAGGCATGCAAGTTGGAATATTGTTTCCGGTTCCAAATGTAAAGCTTCCGAATCCAAATATTTTTCCAAAAAATTGGAATGGAAATTGGAATGCATTTAGAGATTCTAAAAATTCTCAATTTCCGATCCGAATTTTTCTGAAGTGTTCCGAACTTATCCTGATAAAAAACTTCCGAACTATTCCAATATTTTATAGTTATTTGCTCAAATTATATATTTTGTAATCAAATTTTGCGGGTTAATGTTTGTTTTGAATACATTTTGCATTGGTTTTACATTAAACATACACTTCTATATATTAAAAAGTATAAGCATACTCGTATACCACAAAATTAATTGAATTCATACATCAGCATACACCAAATATTAAGAAAGAACAATAAATTCCACGTGTGGAAAGTTTGAGGCTATTCAAAAACTTATAAAATATACAAACTTCTGAATTATGTTCCGAAATTTCCAAGATTACTCTGACTTTGAAATTTCCCGAAATGACAAAATTTCCAAATTTAAAAATTGTGACCTGATCCACTCTAATTCAAAATTTTGGAATGGGAATTGGAAACATAGTTCCAATCCGATCCTTCAGAAAAACACCCCTAGTTATAATTAAAAAAATGCAGGTTCATTCTCAAGCGTTTATGTCCAAAGAGGAAAAGTATTACCCCATTGACTTTGCCGTAGTTTTGCCCCATAAAGTCAATGCCGTTCAGCCAGTGGCTGTGAAAACCAACAGCAACCATTTCAGCCCGAGAATAGAACTGATGCCCAACATCAATACCTGCCAGGAAGGGAAACTTTAGCACCCACAAATTAAAATCTTTGGGGAAAAAAAAAGAAAAAAAAAAAGGACATATTTCAAAAGCAACTGTGTTCAATTATCAATCCCATAAAAATATAATCAACCCATAATGTATTTCAGTCAACAAACCCTCAAAAGCATATAGCGTAAAGGGATAATTAACCAGGTGAGAGTTGCAAACCTGGAATGCTTCCGATTCTTTTAGTGGCATTCAAGATTTCTTTTCTCTCCATCATCTGCTAGACATTATTATTTAAAAGCCAAAGAAAAACAGGGGCAGATTAAATCAGATGTTACAATCATAAATACTGACCATCATATTCCAAACAGGAACATCACTCTTTTAATCATCAACATGAATTCTATTAGAAAAGAAAAGGTACAAGTAGGAAAGACGAACATGATTTCCATCAAAACCAGGATAAGCTATATTACATTCAAATCAAAGATATTCCCCAGTCAATAAGAATAAAACTCAAGGGAATACCTCTAAAATGTTTACACAAATATGTTCAGAGAAAAGCTAAAAACTTAATTTCATCCCTAATTAAATCCACCTCATCCTCCTTTCTCTTGAAAAACCTATTATTACTTCCCACTGCAGGTCCCGAGCAGAAACATCATTGGCTCTTAATACAAAACAAAGTTATCATATGGATAGCAAGTAGGAAACCCATAAAACAAGTCATATGGATAACAAGTAGGAAACCCATAAAACAAGAGATGTCACAACAATTGACACCACCACCAATGTTACAATCACTTTCATGTTACTTCAGAATTCCTAAGTATAGTACACCAGAATCACTTTACAAAACAGAAGGATTGGAACAGCATTTGCTCCTGAGATCGTTTGATTTCAAAATGTCATAAATTATGAAAACACAAAGAATGTGTCTATCGTGAGAAGGCAGTGATGAGGCAAGAATCATGTTGACTTGCCTTAGATATTGCCTTCAAATCATGTCGTTTTGACGCCTTTGCCTCTGGCGGGGAAGCCTCTTTCTGCAGAAATTTGTCCATTTTGGAAACATATTAAGGACCAAATTGCTCAGTCTCAAGACCACATGCATATTAAGCAAAGAGTAAGTGAGATAAACTGACCTTAGATTTTTTTGAAGATTTCGAGCCCTTCTTTGCGGATTTGGATGCCTTCTTATCAGCCTCCACTTTTCTGCACCTCATTTCTTCTTCCTATGAATCAAATTTCTAAAAGTTGACCGTACTTCTTACCCAAACATTTTTCAACATTTAAACATGGAAACAGGGTAAAATCTGAGCTCAATCCTCATAAGGACAAACCTGTACGAAATAAAGGTAATGTTTGTTGAACAGCCTCAGGGTCTCCTTGACCTTAGCATGGTCGCTCTTCTCAGCCGAAGAATTAGTGGGTTTGCTGGCTCCGCCTTCTAAACAACCGTTAGAGCCGGCGTCCCTGGCCTCATTTTTAGCATGGGAGCTTTTTCCACCGTCGATATTGGCTCTTTTGCTGAGGCTACCTCCGTCTCCCCCTCCGTCTTGCTCTCGGTCTCCGTCTCTGTGCTCATCAAGTAATGCAACTCTTTTGCGGACCAGGACTTCCTTCTGGGGTTTCTCTTTGACCCGAAGGCGAGAACTAGTTCTCCTTCCCGGCGGCGAAGGAATGTTGTTTTTGGAATGCGGGTCTGCAGCGTCACCACCTCCTTCAGCATCGGCGGAGCTATGAACCAGCGATTTCACTACCATTTTCCACCCACTCGAAGGTATCTGCAGAAGCGAGAGAGTGATTTTGGAGAAACTTGAGATTCTAGGGTTTATCAGGAGGGTAAGTCACACATGAAAATTGGAGCCCTGGTCTAGGGAGCTGAGAGAGAGAGGGGCGGAGAGAGAGTGTGTGGGGGTTAATGGGGTGCGTGGGCGCGTATTCGTGGGTTTGCTGACGTCACTGACTGTCGAGTACTAGTTTCAGAAGAGTACGGACAGGCCCTGATCCCCGCCCTCGCCCCTTCATCTCCATTGCTCCTTCTCTCCTTCACTTTAGGCTTGAACGCTCCTCGGATTTGGCCTCTTTCCGAGGAAGGGGGGGCTATTCCTATTCAGTCGAAGCAATACAGGAGTTTCCATAATTGGATACACTTTCAACTTCTTTTTTTTAAGATAGTTGTTGGTAGAGCTCTCAAAATTTCATTTTACTGTCTAAATTTTATAATTAAAAGAAAAATACATTTATAAAGTGTGTAGGATAAGATTTTTAAAGTGTTAATAATAATTTCTTTTTTTTATATTGGTACCTTGTAAATTGTAAAATCGCTTCTAATTATGCTTCTGTTATGACATAAAATTGAAGTAATTGAGTGATGACAACCGTAGATGAGCTTGAAGCAACCATCCTTTTTAGACATTTATGGATATTTTTTCTTATTTATAAATCCATTTTTGATATTTCTCTAAGATAAATAAATTGTAATATAAAGTTTTGAGTATGTTTATAGATTTTCTTGATTGTGGCTATAATACTTTGCGATCGTAAATGCAGCAGAATATTAATAGGTAAGTTATAAAAGATAAAATTTCACTTGTCATTGCATTATGTACAAGTAAAGGAAATGCTAAGTGTTGTCCACTAACTTTTGAAAAGAAAATGGTACGTCCATATCTAAAGCATCTCTATGGTATAAGTGAGATTTACTTTATTATAATCTTACCTCCTTCAAAAAAAGGTTTATAAATTGTCCACAAAATGTAGCATCACTATTTTGAAAGAAACAAAAAAATACAAAAGGGTAAATGTGGAAATAAAAACATTTTTGTCCCTTTGCTTTTTAAGAAAACAATGTGAGCTTGCCTCATACGTGTAGTGAGATAGTTAGAGCATTTTCAAATGAGATATCAAAACTACCACATAGACATATAATAGTAAAAATGGCATCAAATTCTTTCCAAGTGAACCTTCAGTTTTTTACGTGGCATTGAGTCATTTGAAGGCAAGACCTTTTGCTATCAAAATTGTCAAAAGGTGTCAAATCCATTTAATAAATTTTTAATAAATGTTACTGTGTGTCAAGAATTTAATTGGTTATCTCAATAATTAGACCTTACGAGAGATTAAAAAATTTATAGAGTAATATTGTTACTTGACATATTGGGTGGAGCAAAAAATTGTATAAAATGCCAAATTACCACACATACCATCAAATATCATTTTGATGTTTTAAATTTGACATCTCTATTGGAGATGCTCTTATATTAAAAAATATAAATACTAAATTAAAGTCTTCTAAGGTGTGTTTACTTGGGATACCTTCATTTTCATACCCAAAACTTATGAAACCTATCTACTTTTCATTCATTTAGTTATTAATCTTGGTGATATGGTGAATCAAATTTAGACATCCAATGTAAAGGTAAATGCTATTATCGAACTTGAACTACAAGCCCTATACTTAGTTCAAGTGTTTTTTTTTTTTTTTTTTTATTGCAATTTTTTGGTGTTTGAACATGAGATTTTGCAGGACACATCTTGTGACCTAACGTAAACTCTCACTCTTTAGTGTAAATATATAATTATATTAAAAAACATGAGATTTTGCACGATGTGTTTCTAATCTTATATGTAAAAGATCAAACTCACCACTATGAAAGGCCTTGTCAAGTCGTATATTAAAACTCCCTAAAACTAATTGGACACAGTAAATTGGTACACTTGTTGGACACACTGATGGGCTTAGACTATTATATTATTTGAGGCCACTTGGACTGAAGAACGCGTTAATTTGTGTGTCCAAAAATAGCGAACACTACTTGCCTCGACGCTCTTATATTTGGGCCATTTACGAGGGAATAGGCCCAAACACCAACACGGCCATTATCCATCTCGTTCGTAGGGAGCCGGCAGTTGGCTTGCTTGGCTTGGCTTGGCTCGGCTGTCAGTCAGTCTATCACGTTCACATATTTCAGTCTGTACTTCAGGAGTTGGACCTCCACAGTCCACAGGCAGGAAGTGCCAGGCGTCTCTATGCTAGTAAACAGAAAAACTCAATCCTTATCTCTCTCCATCTGTCTCTCACTTATTTCTTGAGGGAGAGGGGGCGAGCGAGCAATGGCAGCGAAAGTGCTATCATCCCCTCCGCACCCGCATCCAAATCCTCTCAGTTCTCGTCCTCTGAAAATACTCCACGAAACTCACCACCAGCAGAGGCAGCAGCAGCCATGGCGGCTGAGCCAGCGTTCATCAGGAAGTTCAGGAACCAACAAGAAGAGAGAGGTGGTGATGAGCTCCCTCCACCAGTCTCTTATTAGTACGTCGTCGTCTCTGGTACCTCTCTTACTGGAACCACCGCAGCAACTCAATGCATCCAGCAGCAGCAGCAGCATCAGCAGCTCCCTCTTGTTTGTGATTGCAGCTGCAGACGGCGCCGTAGGTTATTCGTTGGCCAGTTACTACACATCCCTGGGTCTCTTCGTCATCTCTGTTCCTGGCCTTTGGTCCCTCATCAAACGTTCTGTTAAATCCAAGGTCTGTAATTTTGTAATTATGCCCTCAATTTTCACTTAAACAATATGGGCGCCTGAACTGAGTCTGAACATATGTAAACGCGAGGATATCAGGTCGTGCAGAAGACGTTTGTAGGTGAAGAGAAGAAGGCACCAAGCCAAGTCGCCGGTGAAATCCTCTCTTTTTTCACTCGCAACAATTTTGTGGTCACTGATCGAGGGGAGACCATTACGTAAGGCCCACCTCCACCTTACCTACTTTCAACTTACACAATTTGAAAGTTGACATCCATTTCTTCGTTCAATGTACATTGAATGATGCTGCAATTATATATGGACATGTTATCTGTTTCTTTGGGAATTTCCATGTGTTGCATAATTGCATTCTCCATTAATATCATCATACATGCATATATTACTGTGGTTTCTATTGTTTGCTTGGCATTGCCAAATTGCCAAGGAGTTGGGTGTTGTAACAATATCTATACCAAATAGGGAGTGAATAGACATGCTCAAATATTTCCGTCTTGTCTTTGACTGGTACGAAGGTTTGAAGGCATGATGGTTCCAAGTCGAGGCCAAGCGGCATTGCTCACTTTTTGCACCTGCATCAGCCTTGCAAGCGTAGCTCTTGTTCTTACCATAACTGTTCCCGATTTCGGCAATAACTGGTTTTGGCTCACCACCTTAAGTCCGTTGGCGTAAGTAGTGCAAAATGCACCCACATGCTTCAATTCCAATTCACTTATCTGTGTCAAGGTGCATACGAGTGCTCCAAAACTAGAAAATGTACTGATGTTTTCAAAATGGAACACAGGGGTGCATATTACTGGAAGCGAGCATCGCGAAAGGAGCAGATCAAGGTCAAAATGATGGTCATAGACGATGGTGAACAGTCAGAGATCATCGTTCAAGGGGATGACCAGCAAGTAGACCAAATGAGAAAGGAGCTTCAACTGAGTGAGAAAGGAATGGTGTATGTTAAGGGCATATTCGAGAGATAAAGAAATACCTCTATCTCTGTATTCAATTGCAATGTTTTGCTCAGAGTCAGAGAAGAGATTAGGAAATGAAGCTGTTCTTGTATTAGATCCTTGAAAGATTTTGAGATGTGTAGACACAATCAGTCAATTTGACCGATATATATATATATATATATATATATATATATATATATATATATATATAACTGAGTGAGAAAGGAATGGTGTATGTTAAGGGCATATTCGAGAGATAAAGAAATACCTCTATCTCTGTATTCAATTGCAATGTTTTGCTCAGAGTCAGAGAAGAGATTAGGAAATGAAGCTGTTCTTGTATTAGATCCTTGAAAGATTTTGAGATGTGTAGACACAATCAGTCAATTTGACCGATATATATATAACTGAGTGAGAAAGGAATGGTGTATGTTAAGGGCATATTCGAGAGATAAAGAAATACCTCTATCTCTGTATTCAATTGCAATGTTTTGCTCAGAGTCAGAGAAGAGATTAGGAAATGAAGCTGTTCTTGTATTAGATCCTTGAAAGATTTTGAGATGTGTAGACACAATCAGTCAATTTGACCGATATATATATAACTGAGTGAGAAAGGAATGGTGTATGTTAAGGGCATATTCGAGAGATAAAGAAATACCTCTATCTCTGTATTCAATTGCAATGTTTTGCTCAGAGTCAGAGAAGAGATTAGGAAATGAAGCTGTTCTTGTATTAGATCCTTGAAAGATTTTGAGATGTGTAGACACAATCAGTCAATTTGACCGATATATATATATATATATATATAACTGAGTGAGAAAGGAATGGTGTATGTTAAGGGCATATTCGAGAGATAAAGAAATACCTCTATCTCTGTATTCAATTGCAATGTTTTGCTCAGAGTCAGAGAAGAGATTAGGAAATGAAGCTGTTCTTGTATTAGATCCTTGAAAGATTTTGAGATGTGTAGACACAATCAGTCAATTTGACCGATATATATATAACTGAGTGAGAAAGGAATGGTGTATGTTAAGGGCATATTCGAGAGATAAAGAAATACCTCTATCTCTGTATTCAATTGCAATGTTTTGCTCAGAGTCAGAGAAGAGATTAGGAAATGAAGCTGTTCTTGTATTAGATCCTTGAAAGATTTTGAGATATGTAGACACAATCAGTCAATTTGACCGATATATATATAACTGAGTGAGAAAGGAATGGTGTATGTTAAGGGCATATTCGAGAGATAAAGAAATACCTCTATCTCTGTATTCAATTGCAATGTTTTGCTCAGAGTCAGAGAAGAGATTAGGAAATGAAGCTGTTCTTGTATTAGATCCTTGAAAGATTTTGAGATATGTAGACACAATCAGTCAATTTGACCGATATATATATATATATATATATATAACTATAAACTACTACTAAATAGATTGGTTCAGTTGGCTTCAAAACTCTGCTCCCTTACAGGGTTGTCACAAACTCTTATCATGCATTTGAGAACCGACACCTTCGCGGATTCAGGCTAAACTACTAAATAGATTGGTTCAGTTGGCTTCAAAACTCTGCTCCCTTACAGGGTTGTCACAAACTCTTATCATGCATTTGAGTACCGACACCTTCGCGGATTTAGGCTAAATTAGTAAGAATTGTACTATAAGAAAACATTAGATAGAGGGATTGAAAATGCACTATATGATCATTCCAACAAGTCATTTACACATCCCTTTATCTCTTGTTTTTAAAACAATTCATACTACTACCGTAGTACCGTAGTAACCCGTATCCCTTATTACTTTGCAATCCCTCATCCAAACACAGCATCTAATGAACGAGGCAGAGGGCACCATTATGCAATTTGGTAAAAAACAGTAATAAGCCTTAATAGATAGAATAAATAAAGTTTTCTTGATTCTCAAATAACAGAATCCTCAGTTCAGCAAAGTTTGGAGCCTTTGGTACAGTTGATGCTCAGCAAAGCCAAGGCAACTTATTGACAATCAATACCAACACCAAACCCTATTTCTAAACAACCCAAAGGGGAAAAGAGAGTAAAAGTAAAAGTGTTGGTAACAAATCTTCGACATTATCTGATTATGAAAAAGAACTCATCCAGAACCGACCAGGTCCGCTAGAGAACAAGGCCAAGGTTTTCAGCCAATCAGTAACTTGTTCTCCTCCAAGAATGAATAAGTGGGTACCTCCAGATTGTATGGTGCTGGTCCCTTGCGGATCCTTCCAGAAATATCATAGTGGGAACCATGACATGGACAAAACCATCCACCAAAATCACCAGCATTAGGCAAGGGAATGCAACCCAGATGCGTGCAAACTCCCACAACAATGAGCCATTCCGGGTTTTTAACCCTCTCAGCATCTTGCTGCGGATCACGGAGAGAATTAACATCTACACTATTTGCCAGCTTGATATCATCGTCAGTGCGGCGTCTGATGAAGACTGGCTTTCCACGCCACTTAACAGTCACAGTTGAACCGGGCTCAATGCTGGAGAGATCAACCTCCAGCGAGGCCATAGCAAGAACATCCTTACTGGCTGACATGCTTAGCACAAACTTGAGGATAAGCAGACGAATCAGAGAAGCATAGACAAACCTCCCGCCTGTGAGGACAAAGTAGGCAAATGCACGCTTGCTGGGGTCACCTGGAGGGAATCGCTCATGGTTGTACTCGTCATAAACTATCTTTGAACTAGGATTCTTGACAGCTGCGACAGTTGGAGGAACGTCTGGAACTAGATTGTTGTCCTGGGACGGGGTCACTGAACCAGACACAAAACCTGAAGCAATCGATCGATTAGAACAAAAGCAGCCATTGATTGACCCAACGGAGCTACATGCATCATTCCGCATAGACTTAAATAATTACTAAAAGCTGTGAACTTTAGAAAAGTTAGCTTTTAAAGACTTCAACTTGATGCTTCATGAGCTTTTTTTCATGGTCTTTTATTTCTTTTATTTTTCAATACGTGATTTAGAACAGAAATTTGTGAAAGGGATGCATAAATAGATTTCTAACACAAATATACAGCATTATTACGGTACCAAAGTTAAACTCACCATCAATGGGAGCTAAATTTAAACTAAACTAAAATATTCATTAATCAGCTCATAAAGATAATACACGCAAACACAATATCAAGATCAATAATCACCTATTCCAAAAAAATCAGCGATAAATTCTGATGAAATTCCTGCCGATAATTTTGGGGGAAAAAACCCTAAATAACCAGTAGCCACGAAAGAGGGAGAGAAATGAGGGGAACCCTAACCTCTGGACGGAAGATAGAAGTCAGGGGTGAAATAGGCGGATCTGAGCTCATCGGAGGAGTCACGGCCGTCGATGAGATTTGGAGACAGGATAGAGGAGGAGGCAGTGCCGGTGGCGGCTAGGTTGGACCTCCATGGGGACACGGACACAGAACAGAGCCTCCTCGCCGCAACCCTCAACATATTGTTTTCCTTTTTCTTTTTCTTCTTTTTGTAATTATTCTTCTGAGTTTTGAGGTTTACGACTGTTACGCTGCGAAATGGCCTTCGGCTTTCGCTGCTATACAGATGCTGCCCGTAGAGAAAGACGGGGCACAAGAGAGAGAGAAGGATAGGGATAAAATGGGCAAACCAGATTTTCTCTTTGCGATGGGAATTTAGAACAATAGGGAAATGACCGTGTTATCGATATATTTATATTTAGCTGGTGGCCGTGATTTTGGCACGTCAGAATCCCATTCATCTTTTTCTTTTGTTTGCCAAATTTTAGTTAAAATTTGTTATCAACACTAAATTTTTTTTTTTTTTTAACAAACGATATTTTTACCTTTTAGGTGGAAAGTAGATTAAACCTCATAATATACTAGCAATAATATGGTACAAATTCGCTTTTGACAAGAATCAAACCTAAAACCTTTTATTTACAAGTTTCATATATTTAAGTTTAACCTATGTACATTCCTGGTTCTTACAATTTAAAGATAATAAAATCATTTAGTCAAATTTTTGTTAATAAAATTAGCGGACATGAATGCCAAGTGCAAGGGTAAATTAGACATCTAACAAGTCTAAAACACATCGCATTGGCCCATAGCTTGCTAATTTTGTTAAAAAATTTAACAAATTTAAGTCACTGTTCTTAAATTGTAATAATTAGTGAATTATAGAGTTTAAATTGTGGAAGCTATAACTGCTGAGACCAAAGCGGAACCTCTCCAAAGAGACAAGAGTTAACAATAATTCGGCTTTTTTCGGATTACATAACGTTAGTTAACTCATTTTACCTACCAGACTATGTCTATCCATGTATAAAGCCAACATGGAAAAAAATAACTGCAACTTAAATAAGTGCGTTCGTCCCGAATATGTCCCTGTACTAAAATGTGAAACCTTATGATGGACTAAAGACTTGGATTGGGCCAGTCATGGAAATATATGCACTAAGAGTTGGTTTTCAAACATGAGCCTACATCCTAAAAGGTTTGGCCCAGGCCAGGCCAGTCCAGTCCAGTTGCATTGTCGTCGGCGTCGTCTAAATAGCGTCGAGTCCCACACGCACAAAATCCCTCAACACAGAAAGGGGACAACAAAAGGAAACACAGAAGAAAGAGTGAGTGATGGAGTTGGAAGGAATCGGTAAGAAAGAGAAAGAAGAAAGCGGCGGCGGCGGAGGAGGAGAGCGTGAGATTGAGAACGTAAATTTGTCGTCGGCGGAGGCGTCGGAGATAAAGTACGTGAGCTATGGAGGAGAAGAGCACCTGCCTCTAATAATGGGGCTGGTGGACCAAGAACTGAGCGAGCCGTACTCCATCTTCACCTATCGGTACTTCGTGTATCTGTGGCCGCAGCTGTGTTTCATGGCGTTCCACGGTGGCAGGTGCGTGGGGACGGTGGTGTGTAAGATGGGGGAGCACCGCAACACCTACAGAGGGTACATCGCCATGCTCGTCGTCATCAAGCCGTACAGAGGCAAAGGCATCGCCACCCAACTAGTCACCAGATCTATTCAAGTCATGAAGGAATCTGGCTGCGAAGAGGTATCTCTCTGTTTTCGTAAAATAAAATCAATCCGTTTTTGGAGCCCTAGCCTAGCCGCCGTTGTCACGAATGAATGACTTGATTGATTGGATTGGATTGGATTCAGGTAACGCTGGAGGCAGAAGTGACAAATAAAGGAGCTCTGGCGCTGTACGGGCGTCTTGGATTTATACGGGCAAAGAGGCTATTCCGGTACTACTTGAACGGGGTGGATGCTTTTCGTCTGAAGCTGCTGTTTCCCCGCCCTCTTTACTCTCTTCCTTCCCAATCCCAGGCTAATAATGACAACATGGCCATGCCATTGCCCATGGAAGATTGACTTTGGCTCGCAGCTTTACCTTTTCACCCGATGAGATTCAAGAGATTCAACAAGCTTTTCTTGTAATGTGTGTGCACTCAAATTCGACTCACTTGTTCTTCCCACCAATTTTCTACTTGATCAAACAATTCAGAGCTTGAGAATTTAATTGAAAACAGCAATATAGATTACACTGATCGAACTTGTAATATTCATACATATAGCTACCATTACCAGGTTGCGTTTGAGTATGTCTGTAGTCCGGCCTCTCAGCTGCGACTTTCAGCCAATCTGCTGCTGCAAAGAATGAGGTAGCCGAGGGCGGACGGCCGATAAGAAAACAAACAACTCAGACGATCCACCTACATTTCATTGGAGAAAATGTTACCTCTGCTTTGCTAAGCCCTTCCCCAAAGAAGTCGCGGCGCCCTTCAGGGATCACTTGTTTCTTTCAAGCCTTTAATGGATTTCAACGGTAAGAGGATAACAGTCCATGCGGATCTCAAACCTTTCCTGTGTGTTGTAATGGTAGGGGAAACAATAAGAAAACGACATACCATCTGAACATCAAAGTAGAAAACAGAGATTATGGGGACAAAACTGGGTAGACTACTTCCCTTTAAAAACCATCTGTCTGGAATACGAATCTTGCAATGGTGGTAGCAGTATAGAAACCATTACGAAGGTCCAACTCGTAATTAAACGAAAACAACTTAGTGTCAGACACATTACCATACGTTTATATCTTTATCGTTAGGGATATCATAATATTAATCTTCAAATCGTGCCAAGCTCACTACACCTCACAATGTTCATAAAATAGACATTGTTGAGCATATTCAATGTAAATGTGGTTTTTCATCCATCGTTAAGTCCCAACGACGATCTTTGAAGATAATGTTGAATGTATTGAGGAGACCAAGCAAGAGTACATTAACAAAGTCAAGACCAAGCTTATTACCTTTGCATCGCATTAGCAAAAGCATTAGAATAATTGAACTCAAGCTAATCTTGTTCCAAAACAACATTGCCGAACTCTTCATGAAGTCATTGCCAAAGTCAACTTTTCATAAGTTTGCCTGAGGCATTAGCATGCATAACTTTTTCTTTTTTTTTTTTGTAGATTTTTGCTAACCCAACAAGGTTTTGACGAGACACTCACATCAAAATGGTCATACCCTTGTGTGCATTTTCTACCACTTATATCCTCAAGATGTTAAGTATTGACTTGTTACATTAACTCACATTTTCTACTTAGACTATTAGTTTTGTCTCGTTAAGATTTACCATGGTCGGGTTTTGGTGAAACTTAAATTTTATAGGTCGGGTGTAGAGATACTAGGGTTAAAAGAAATTTCCAAATATGAAATCAGGATAAGGGAGGGATCGACGTCCAAACTCTCATGAATAATGTTTTTTATTTGAGGGCAAAATTAATAAAATTAATAATAATAATTATTGTAGAAGTGTAAAAAATGTAAAAAAATATACAATCACTCATAGTGACAATCTTTATAGCTTTCATGAAGGGGTCAACTTTGAAATCCAACACTATAATCCATAAACCTTAAATTTATATTTAATCGTCGATTGTCATTTACACTTTATTTTCTTATTGAATTTCATTTTTAAAATTTTATTTTTTGAAAACATGATCATCTGGCAGATGTAAGAAGATGAACAGTTCATATTTTTGATATCACATTTCGATATTTACGGTTAACTGAAATATGAGTCGATAGTCATATAGTTTGTAGGAACTTTATAAACATCAAACAATAATTTCACTAATCGTAAAACTCTGAATATAATATCAACAATCCAAACTGTTTATCTTCTTGCATCCTCTAATAGATCATGTTTTTAAAAAAGAAAATGTAACATCTCACATCACCCAGGGGAGTGAATTCTTTAAGCCTTATATGTATATTCTCATCTCTACCTAGCACGAGGCCTTTTGGGAGGTCACTGGCTTCGGGTTCCATCGAAACTCCGAAGTTAAGCGAGTTTGCGCGAGAGCATTCCCAGGATGGGTAACCCATTAGGAAGTTCTCGTGTGAGTTCCCAGAAACAAAACCGTAAGGGTGTGGTTGGGGGCAAAGCGGACAATATCGTGCTACGGCGGAGGCGAGCCTAGGGTGTGGTGGGGGCCCAAGCCAAGATGTGACAATTTGGTATCAAAGCCAATCCCTGGCTGGAAGTGTGCCAACGAAGACGTCGGGCCCTTAAGGGAGGTGGATTGTAACATCTCACATTGCCTAGGGAAGTGGATCTTTAAGCCTTATATGTATATTCCCATCTCTACCTAGCACGAGGCATTTTGGGAGCTCACTGGCTTCAGGTTCCATCGAACTCAGAAGTTAAGCGAGTTCGCGCGAGAGCATTCCTATGATGAGTGACCTATTGGGAAGTTCTCGTGTGAGTTCCCAGAAACAAAATCGTGAGGGTGTGGATCAGGGCCCAAAGCGGATAATATCGTGCTATGACGGAGGCGAGCCCAAGATGTGGTAGAGGCATGGGCTGGGATGTGACCGAAAATCTGAAAAAGCAAAATTTGATGAGAACAATGAAACAGTAAATGTAAACAACAATCAACTGTTAAATTTTAATCTATGATTTATATGATTATAGTGGCAAATTTCGAAGTTAAGCTCTTTATGAAAGTTGCAAAGCTTGTCATTACGAGCATTTATATATTTTTTTACACTTCTACATTAATTAAAAAACTATTAAAGACTTTACTTAAATAATAGTCGTAAGATAAGGGGAGTAGATTCTTTAAGCCTTATATGTATATTCTCATCTCTACCTAGCACGAGGCTTTTTGGGAGGTCACTAGCTTCGGGTTCCATCGAAACTCCGAAGTTAAGCGAGTTCGCGCGAGAGCATTCCCGGGATGGATGACCCACTGGGAAGTTCTCGTGTGAATTCCCAGAAACAAAACCGTGAGGGTGTGGTCGGGCCAAAGCGGACAATATCGTGCTACGACGGATGCGAGCCTAGGATGTGGTGGGGCTCGAGCAAGGATGTGATAATTTGGTATCAGAGTTAATCCCTGGCTGGAAGTGTGCCAACGAGGACATCGGGCCCCTAAGAGAGGTGGATTGTAACATCTTACATCGCCCAGGAGAGTGGATCCTTTAAGCCTTGTATGTATATTCTCATCTCTACCTAGCACGAGGTATTTTGGAAGCTCACTGGCTTCGGGTTCCATCGGAACTCATAAGTTAAGCGAGTTCGCGAGAGAGCATTTCTAAGATGGGTGACCCACTGGGAAGTTCTCGTGTGAGTTCCCAGAAACAAAACTGTAAGGGTGTGGTCGAGGTCCAAACGGACAATATTGTGCTATGGCGGAGGTGAGCCTAGGATGTGGTGGGGGCATGGGCTGGGATGTGATCGAAAATTTGAAAAAGCAAAATTTGATGAGAACAATGAAACGTAAATGTAAACAACAATTAACGGTTAAATTTTGATCTATGATTTATATGATTATAGTAGCGAATTTCGAAGTTAAGTTCTTTATGAAAGTTGCAAAGCTTGTCATTACGAGCGTTTATATATATTTTCTATATTTTTTTACACTTCTACATTAATTAAAAAACTATTAAAGACTTTACTTAAATAACAGCCAGTAAGATAAATGAGAGTAATTCTGTACTGTTAGATTTTATTTCACTTATATTATTAGAATTTTTTTGGACAAAAAACCCATTCTTTATTCCAATATTTTTCAATTTTACCATTTAATTAATTTAGGTAAGCGAAAATATACTTAAAAGAAAAATGTGTTTTTATGTTTTGGATGTGATAATACGATATGTATATATTTATTAGTATTATGTTTTTCATTTGATTATTTATTGGTTTAAAATATATTTTCGTTAACGGATAACGAGTCAGGTTATATTACATGTTAATATTATTGGGTCGATTTCGGGTTGGGTCATGTTATCCGTTTATTTTAACAGGTGTTACCCGTTAAGATATTAAATATGATACGAAAACGATACGAACATGAAAAACACGACACGAATGTCAGGTCAACGCAGCCTCCGAGCAGGCGTAGAAGCTGAGACTTGAGCCGCGCCGCGCCCGAGCGCGCGAATGAACCATTCAATGTTAAATTAACGGTTCCCCGAAGCCACACACACTCGTCTCATCTCTCTCTTGCTCGCTCTCCCATGCTCTGTGGGTGTCCGTCTCTCTTCCAACTCCTAAACCCCATCCGATAATACGAAACGCTCCTCCTCTCTCCACATTTAATTGGGTTTTCTTAGGGCAAAATTCCCCATTTTTTTGGGTTTCTTACTGCAAACCTTGGCAACTCTAATTCTTAACTTTCTGTTCGAGGCCTAATCACCAGATATTTCAGGTATTGTCCTTTTCTTTTCTTTTTCCTGTTAAGTTACGCCTTCCATTGTCTAGGCTTCCGGATTTCAATTTCAATACGAGGCATATGAATGCCGTTTCTTGTATATTTTATCCCTTTTATTCTTTAATTTTTGATATCGAGTTGGTTCTCACTGCCAATTTGATTCCTAAGTGGGTTTCCAATCGTCAGCGAATTTGTATGGGTGTTTGGGGATTGCGACTTTCATTCATAAGTTGCTGTTGTAGCTTTCAATTTTTAATCTTTTTATGGTATTTCAGTTTTCTTTATTTCAAATGCATGCAATTTTTAATCTTTTCAATTTAACTGTTTGTTTTGTTTTAATTTGGTACAATCCGATGGTGTTTGATTCGCATTTGAGGGATTAAATTGTTCAGGTAAATGCCATTGAATTTTCCATAAATAAATTGAGTTTGGATGTTGACTCTATCTTTATAGTGTAGCTTACTCCCTTGAAGTGCCTTACAATTTACCAAACAAAACAAGTACTCATTTCAAACTGATAGACTCACTCCAGTCCAGTTAGTTGCATTGATTTTGTTCACCATGTGTTTTGGGTTACAGTTTGAGTTGAGTTATGAGGCATTTTGTAGCCATGGATTATAAATGGTTTGTTATTTGATTTTGATCTCAGGTTGCATTAAAAATGACGACATGTGTTACAGGAAATAATGTATGAAGGTATAATGCTTTGACGGAGCTTCGTTTGACATCTTGTGCCAATGGCGGCTGATCAGCGGAGAAAGCGAGTAAATGGTGTTATCATTGCCAGTTGCAATTCCAGGGAGCAACACAAAGCAAAAAAGAAAAATATTGAATTGCTTCAGGATGATTCAAACATAAAACCTCATATTTTTCTTGAGTGGGATGGGAATCAGAACATGGTAGTTGCCAAAAGGTATCAAATTGGCATAAGTAGGAGAACTTTGAGGCCGTTTGTTGATTCCGCTTTCAATAGCCACAATACTTTGGCAGATGTTTTTGCTGTTCCTGAGGGAATCTATGATTTGGAAAATTTGGAAGATGTGCTTTCATATGAGGTATCTTTTGATTTATGATTAGCCACAATGGCGTATCTACTTTATGTTGTTGGTGCATCTAATATGCTATTTGTTTAAACAATGATGCAGGTTTGGAATACACATCTGTCTGAGATTGAGAAGAATCACCTTATGCAGTTTCTTCCTAGCGGAGCAGAGGCAGAGGAAGTTGTGCAAGCATTGCTTGCTGGGGGTTGCTTTGACTTTGGAAGGCCTTTTCTTAAATGGCACGTATTGTTATGTTATACTTGTATTGATGCAACCCCTTTCCTCCTCTTTTCCCTTGATTTTGTTTCTTTTATATTTTTAAGACTAAATAAATGTTGCAGTGCTGAATATTGCTTTTTGTAGACTAATCAAAATTTTCCAACACGTTCATGTTTCTTGTAAGAAAATGGGTTTCGTGTGGTTAAGAAATGTTTGTTACATCAATTGTACTGTTCTGTCTCTTGAGAATAAAATTTGAAACAAGAAACTTTTCTATTGTTTTCTCTTACTATTTTTTTGCAAACACTGTTTCTGTGCATGTACTAGGTATCACTTTTAGATGATTCTAATTTCTAACATGAAAGAAAAGAAAGAAGTTCTTGTAGCATTGTGAGTTTTCAAAAGTAGCTTCTTTGTCATTATTAATTTAAGTCCATAGTGTACCAATGATTTTAACTGAAATACATGCTTTCAGGGGTGCTTCACTTTGCTCAGGTGATTTCCATCCTGATGCCATACTTCGTAGGGAACAATGTCTAAAGAATGATAAGAAAACATTCTACAATGAGTTGCATATGTATCATAATGAGTACGTGAAGTTTTTCCACTTTTTTGTATAATACATATAATACTGTTTTTGTAAGGATCTTTTTCGCTAAAACATAGCGTCACAATCTTTTTTATTGTTTTGTGGCAGTATGATTGCATATTTACAGAAGTTGAAGGAGAGATGCGCAAGCTGTAAGGATCCTGAACAGGAAATTGTGCAGAATATGTGGAGGTTGATGCTCACTGTGTTTTTTTTTTTTTTAATCTCATAATTATGAGCTTAATGAATGGCAAACCTTCCCTTTGATGCTTATCCGAGTACCAATTAATAAGGAGGAGAAATTCTTCTTCAAATTGTGTTTTTCCTTTCATTAAGTCATTTGTTCAGACTGCTTGAAGCCCTTGGGTGATATTCTCATGGGTTATACTTTATGCAGGTTAAGAAATGATGTTGAGAAACAAATTTTTTCACATGCAAATGAATCCAGATCGCATGATCTTGAGGAAAATGCCATAATTACATCTGAATCTTGTTCTTGGGAGAAAGCATGCAGTAGTGATAACCAGATTTCCTCAGTGAACAAAGGAGGAGATTTTCGGAACAGGTAGTTCAGCTTTCCACGTTTAGTCATACCAGAGTGCCTATGTGCTCCAGGTTCATTTTAGTTTTCTTAAATTATAAACATACCTGGCTATGTCTACTTACTGTATGTTTAGTTGACACTTCTATGATGATTTTGTTACATTTATCCATCAATTTACTTTCGATGGCATTAGATCTATACAAGCGCAATATCTACAGTAGGTAGAAATTTACTTTGGACGGCTTGAGATCTATGAGTTTCTATTGTGTCAGGATCCGTGAGAAAGGCTTCCTAAAGGACAAAGGTAGAAATTTATTGGTTACACCAGATGGGGCACATAATGCGGGAGGAAGATCCAAAAAAGGAGACAATCTACACAAGCGCAATAACTACAGTAGCGATGGTGCTAAATACATGTCATATGTTAAGGTTGGTGTTCATTTGGTAATTCTGAAACAATAAAATTTTGAGATGGATTATGTAAGCCTGGGTAACCTAATCAGTCACCTCTCAGGCTTGGGTTTTAGGATCAGTGTTCTCGTGTTAAACTTCAATGGCCAGAGACACCTTAATGGCTTCTGAGCAGAGACTCAGAATTGTCATAATTTTCTCATTAAGTAGGACAAATAAGTCAAATCGACTAGAAAAAAGTTCTTTCACAATATTCCGGTGTTAGGATTTGAACACAATTATGTTTGGAAGTCAGTGCCTTTCAGTTGTTTATTTTAATGGGTTTTAATTTTACGTAACTGATGCCAACTAGCAGATATTTACATCCTTAATTTTTTTCCTATATTTTTTGAGAAAGCAGATATTTACACCCTTAAGCCAACATATAGACGAGACACTCCTCTCTCTATGTCTCTCTCTACACACAGAGCCATCTTTTTGCTGTATACTTGTTCCTTTGGGTCATGATATTGAACATTCTAATTTTAATGAGGCTCTTGCTGAATGTGCGCTTTAACTATTTCAGATTAGCAAGAAGCAGTACGAAATTGTTAAGAGACTGAAGCAGTCTGGCAAAAGCATTCAGTCCAGGTCTCTCAACCGGATATTAGGTAACCTTGATAGCTTTGATGTACAACCGTATGAAGTCTATTTGGAAGAAGAACAGAAGAAGTTGCATCAGCACTGGTTAGTGTCGTGTGAAATATATATTTTAATTCTTTGGAGGAACATTTCATTGTCTGCCTCCTCAAAATATAGTCTTGTTGATACAGGTTGCAATTGGCTATTAAAGATATCCCGGCAGCTTATGCAAACTGGATTGAAATGCATTTACAGAGACGGCAAATGACAAACTCTTTGGAGAAGGACATGAAAAGGAGGCTAAAGCCCCTGATAGAGGTTTTGATTCTGCCTTTTTCTCCCCTCCTTTTTTTTTTTTTTTTCCCCCCTGTTTGAGCCGATGTATTTTTATCAGCCTGGTTGGTAGCCATCCATTTCTTAATGAACCGGAGTCTCTATTGTTGTATGATATTTTATGGCCTTGTTTGTGATGGGATGTTCAGGATGACGAAGGTGATCACAACCTTGAAAGCGTGCTTCAAGATAAGATAGCTATTGAAGCAACAAAGCGTCAATCTCCCATGGAAGATGATGAAGGTCTGTACCCAGTTTCCCACAGGGTGATGAGTACAACCCCACAGACATGGAAGAAGACAATTCTCAAGAGAAGCTTACTGGCGGTCATGAGTGCAACCCCACAGATATAGATTCATATGAACATTTCAGTACAGAGTCAGATAATGATTCAGAAAGGCATATCATTATAGAATCAGATCATTCTCCTCCAAATGTACCTGATTACGCAGAGTATCTGAATACTGCAGATACTGCGGTAAGTCAGGGAGCACAATTATGTGCTAGTGGAGATGCCTGGAAGGCAGTTAATGTGCCACACTCTTACTATGATTCTACCACAAGTCATGCATATTCATCTGCCAGTGAATTATCGCTTGCACATCTACAAGTTAATGAAGTTCAACAGACACACTTAGTTGCTATGGAGTCTGAGTTGCCTGTAGGAGACAGTGGGAAAGATTTATTGCACATACAATCGGAGAATGGTTCCTTCAGTTCTTACCAAAACCAAGATCGAAATGAATTGCTTCAATCTCTCTTTAAGGGCCAGAGCATGCTATCTTACAATACTGAGAAGAAACAGACAGGGTTGGATTTCCGGACACCAGCCAATGTGTTTATGGGTCGGTTTCCAGTGCATTTTGAAGAGCAGCAACACCAGTCACTGCCTCTGGAGCAAGGGCAGAAGAGAGAGAGCGAGGTTTACATGCAACCAAGATTATCTGAGAACGTTTACTCTGATGGAGGTGGGTATTTAAATTCGAGGCCGGAACATCCGACTGCAGTCGATGTGCAGGATTGGGCTGTCAATAGTGTTCGCATGCTAAGACCTCTACAGTCTCACTTAGATGGTGGAGAAATGTTGAGTCATAATTGGTTTTCTGGTGAGCATCAAGTGCATGGTGGATGGTCGGCGTCAGGTGGTACTAGTGTCACGAGTCAGACCATTGGGAATGGAACGAATGCAGATCAAAACTTATTCAGTGTTCTATCCCATTGTAACCAATTGCGATCAAGTAGCCCTTATCAGCACGTAGCCTCCACCGAGCAGTTTTTTTCCTCTAGGAGCTATGGAACTGTGGGTGGGGCCACTCCGAGGATCGGAAATGTTGTACCACAAGCAGGTTATGAACTGGATTACTTGGGTGGGCGGGAAGCAGCCACTCCCATGATGCATGATGATATGCAATGGATGAATTTACCGCGTCAGAACTCTGGTTTACGTGATCCTATGGGGAAACCATTCTTGAGGTCGTGGAACCCGTAAGACAATTTTCTAGCATGGTAACGTAAACGGGAAATGTGAGTTGACAAGTGAGGGTGAGAGTAGATGGAAGTGCAGAGTTGGAGATAGGTTTTTGTACATACCTATACAAGGGCCAACTCAGCATCATGTATATATAATATGTTAGATGGGACAGAGGCAGATAGCAGCAGGCAGGGGTAGGGGGAGACCTGGGATTATTGGACAGTTCCAGGCATCTCTAATTTGTCTGTTAGATAGTTGGGATTATTTTTCGTCTTATTCTCTGTTTCTGGAGAAATATCGTTGAATAGTATTTGGAGGGTTTTAAAGTTTTCTGTAGAGGCAAATGCTTTTTAGAATAATCAAGGCTCTCTCTCTCTCTCTCTCTCTCTCTCTCTCTCTCGCGAATACTAGCATATCGTGGTTTTGGTTGTTGGCTGGCATTTCCAACTCTCTTCCTCTCATGAAATGTTGAATGCTTTTACCATTATCGTCTTTCGAGGTTAGTGTTTCAGCGTTTCTGCGTTTCTGTTTGAGTATGCCCCGTCACCATTATCATCCGCTGAGATGATCAAACACGAGTCTCGTAGCCTCGTAGGTAGGTGGTGCTTTCTGGGGTGACGCTGTTTATAACACCAGCAGCATTTGGTGGGCAACCTTATTTTACAGAAAGACTACCTTATTTTACAGAAAGACTTGAGGAGGTGTAGACGGGTCCGTATGAATTGAATTAGAGGATTGATTCCCCGCGGACGCCTAATGATTTTATTTGCTAATTTTACTATAACAAAAAACATCAACATGAATTCCAATTCCAAACAAAAAAAAAAGGTCTATGTGAATTGAAACATAAACAGACAAAATGAAAGACAATTGTGACGAGAAAGATGCAATTTTTTTTGTTTTTATTGTTTGGAGAGAACATGAAACATGCCGGAAAAAAAAAAAGTCAGCATGCATATGTTAGCACAGCACCTGAATCCCGTGACTCCATGCTGAAAATTAACAACCCCCTCCAAACAAACAAAATAGAGTCGAAAAAATAAACCTGCATTAACCTCAAAATTATGCGTATTTATTTATTTATCTTTGTGGTTTGAAAATTGCAGTTATAAGTTATGATTTTATTAAAAGTGTAGGGCGGCTAGATACAAGAAGAGAAGAGGATAAAGCGGAGGTGGAGCAGAAGAGAGGAGAGATACTAAAAGAACGGGGATCCCTCAGAATCGCAGATCAGACTTGAGACTTTAAAGACACACTATTGTAGGAAGGGAAATGTTTACAGGGTCGTCAGTCGTCAATGAGGAGAAAAATGTGGCGGCTGTTACACTTGGATTTCTAATATCGTCCCTACCTCCTCCTTTCTCTTCCCTTCCCTTCCCTTAAATGCATGCATTGAATTAGTTAGGCTAAGACTTACACGTACAGAGCTACATACAAGACTTCCATTGTTTGCAAATACAACTGAGTTGAATTAATCTCAAAGCCAACGGCCCAACAAGAAGAGGAAATACAAAATCAAAATGGGGAAGAATGAGGTGATTCGGTTAGAGCGTGAATCTGCCATTCAAGTTCTCAAGCCCAAACTCATCATGACCTTGGCTAACCTCATTGGTTTGTACTTTGTACTTGTAATCATCTAATCATGCCATTGCCATTGCCTTTGTCTTTGTCTGTCTTCATAGTTTTGCTAACTGGATCGAACCTGGTTCTCAAATATTCTCTAGAGGAAAGTTCTGATCGTGCTGAGTTTCTCAAGCTCTGCAAGAGAGTCGAGTACACAATTCGGGCTTGGTATCTTCTTCAATTTGAGGATTTGATGGTATGCATATGCGAAAATATGCTATGCTGCGGATCATCTTTTCACCTTTTTCCAGATATTATTTAGGCATTTCAATTATTCATTTATTTCCGATATCTTATTAAGTTTTGTTTGACATAGAATATTTGTCTATTCTATAAACACAGCAACTATACTCCCTGTTTGATCCTGTCCACGGGAGTCAGAAATTGGAGCAGCAGAAGCTTTCTCCTCAAGAAGTTGATGTACTTGAACAGAACTTCCTCAAGTACTTGTTTCAGGTTCCATTCTATGGCTGCTTCCCCTTCTTCTTCTTGTTTTCAGTTTCTATACACCCGCCACCCCATACAACTAAAATAAACAAGAGAAAAAGAAACAGGAAATCTTCATTTCTATACTCCTTTTAGTTTTGATATGATACAGGTGATGGAAAAGAGTAATTTCAAGATTGCAACTAACGAAGAAGTTGAGGTTGCACAGTCGGGGCAGTATCTTCTGAATCTTCCCATCGTTGTTGATGAATCTAAGGTTTGTATCGTACTCATCAAAATGTATTCCCTCCATCACTAGTTTCAGTTCAGTAATATTGCTTCAGTGGAACTTTGGTTTTTATGGGATGCGATCCTCACGTTTGCTTGCTGATCCCAATATGTTATGTAGCTTGACAATAAACTTTTGAGGAAATACTTTGACACGCATCCTTGCCCAAACATTCCAGATTTTGCTGATAAGGTATTTTCAAATACTGCAAACAAACATCTGCAAATTTCAAATCCCTTCCCAAAATTCGAGTGGGTGTTTATATACATCCTCATTTGATGTTGTCTTGCTTCAGTACGTCATCTTCCGACGCGGCATTGGACTTGATAAGACGGCAGATTACTTTATCATGGAGAAAGTGGACATTATCATTGCACGTTGCTGGAAATATCTTTTACGACTAACCAAGTAAGTTGCCTGCTTGCTTTAAATTTTGCCTGTTGTCTGTCATTCTTCTAAATTTCTGGATGGAATATTCGTATTTGTAGCTTGGAAACTAGTTATGATTAATAATCTTAATCTAACATACTTGAACAACTTCAAGTCACTTGACCAAGTATAAATTCGAAACGTCATTGTGCAGATAGAATCTTGTTGATAATTTTGTTCTTGCAGGATGGACAAGTTCTTTTCGAAAAAGAAAAAGGCACAGCGCAAGAAGAAGAATATTAGCCTCCTTGACGAAGAGGACTTGTTTGTTGAACGAATCCGTCTTGAAAAAATGGAACTGAGGTTGACTTTTATACATGCCTTCTTCCCTTCATTTGGCAAAATACAACAGCAACTACAATGTTTTTATAAAAAAAAAATGATTCCATGTGCATTCGACATGGATATACAAATAACTGGAGACGTTTCCTTTGACTTTCCTGCAAGCATGCCTTCGTTTCAATCTGATGTTGATTATCTCCACTTCATGACAAATATATGCTGTGTGTCCTTCAGCATTCAAAATTTGCTGTGCAAGAACACAATCCAAGAGCCAACTTTTGATAGGATTATTGTTGTTTACAGGTAATGCTTTTCTTTTTATGAACTATCTTCTTTTGCATAAACTTTTTCGAAAGGACCTTGAAAAAGTAATTTATTGACAAGAAGAATTATGACTTTTCAGGCGAGCAAGTACCGAAGATAATGCAGAGCGGGGAATATATGTTAAACATTTCAAAAACATTCCAATGGCTGATATGGAGATTGTTCTTGTGAGTCTCTCTCTCTCTCTCTCTCTCTCTCTCTCTTCAAAAGATGACCCGAGTATATGGATTGAAACCTTGGCCTTTTCACAGCCTGAGAAGAAGAACCCGGGATTAACTCCAATGGATTGGCTCACGTTTGTTGGCTCTGCTGTAGTAGGGCTGGTCAGTTTCTTGATAGCAGCAATAAAGTTTGTGTTGGTGCACTGTAATCTTGTCATTTTTTTTAATCTTGTGAAAATACAGCTTAATCCTAATCACCATGTGTTGGTTTACTGCAGGTTGCAGTTGTTACTTCGATCGAAATGCCTAAAATTGATGTTTGGGTCATGTTTGCGATTATTTCCACTGTGATTGGTTACTTTGCTAAGACATACTTCAGGTTAATTCTGTTGTTCTAATATTCATATTTCCTCAAATTGGTTGCTTGGGTTGGCACATTTTCTTTCAATTCCAATAATATGCATCCGCATGACCATACGTGTAGTTATCAGCAGAACTTGGCTCAGTATCAGAACTTGATAACACAGTCCATGTACGAAAAACAATTGGATAGCGGACGGGGTACTCTCCTTCACTTGTGCGATGATGTGATTCAACAGGAAGTAAGCCGCTACTTTCGGATGAATTTTGGTTGGACATTAATGTTTTTTTTCATTGGTGCAGTAACAAATTCTTGTTGAATGTATTTGCAGGTGAAGGAGGTGATAATTGCTTTTTACATATTAATGGAACAAGGGAAAGCTACCGCACTAGTATGATATATCTCCTCCTGGATCTCTTCCTATCATAATAATATTGCGACAAATATGTAATATGCAGAAGTAACACTGCTGTAGTAGTAAAGGTGAATTGAAGTCTAATATATATGTATGTGTTGTAGGATCTGGATAAGTGGTGTGAGGAACTAATCAAAGAACAGTTTAACGACGACTGTAATTTTGATGTGGACGATGCAGTTCAGAAGTTGGAGAAATTGGGAATTGTAACTCGGGTAAGGCTTATGATGAAACATTAGTACTATTACTGACTCGTTCTAATTAATTACCTATGGCTATGAATGAATTAGGATACCCTTGGACGATATAACTGCGTAGGGCTGAAACGTGCGAACGAGATCATTGGCACCACCACAGAGGAGGTTGTTCTTAAGGCAAAACAAGACTTCACGGCCAATGCTTGATATGTTGTGCTGCTGACAACTCAAAACTCATATGTGTTTGTCATTTTTAACTCCATTAAATTTGTTTCATTGTTTGGAATTCCTAGTCACAGTTTGTTAATAATAAATGGGATACTGTCCTAGATCATCATTTCTTTTCTTTAAAATACTTTTTGGTTCAAGTAAAAACTAAATATAAAAGGCATGTTGAGAGGTGGTGTTAATAATAATATTGCAAATATTCCAAGCAAGCAACCACTTGACAGAACATGACAAGCCTTGATTGTAAGTTAATCTTGAGATTAGAGTGGACTCTACTTTGAGAAAGATCAAGTCATCAATTCATAAATATTAGACAGTCATTCGGTCACAGCCACAACGAAATTCCCAACATCCAATTTGAATTTCAAGCATTTTCCTGGTGAGGTTTCGGGTACAGTAAGCATTCACATCAACCGGATGACTGCATCAAACTTGACGTTTTCTTCCAATAAACGCTGCGGTGGAGGAGCAGCAGGCAGGCTTGGGTGGTGTTCTCGCTCTGGTCAAAGTAGTTGGATGCTAGGCGAGTGAGGGTGTTGGGCTTGGCGAGACGAAGCGCCTCTTGGACGCACTCTTCAGTTGGACTGAAGCACTTGCCCCAACAGAAGCTGCTGCTGCCTCTGACTGGTGGTGGCGCGAATTGTCGTCGTCCTCCTGCAGCTGCAGCTGATCATGGTTATGGAGCTGAACCTTGGACCAAATCTCATTGTAGGATTGGCCTCGGACGGCGCGGGTGTACTCGTGGATGAGAATGGTGGAGGGCGACGCCTCCGAGCTCGTTGCTCCTGAAATTGTCCACCAATCAAATTCATTTACCAAATTGTTAAAATTGCACTGAGAAAGCGAATGGCAAAGCCGGAGCAGTACCTTGCGATGGGGGAGGTGGATGAGGATGAATATTGCCATTGGGAGGTGCTGTAGGTGATGAGAAGGAGGAGGGCAACTACAACGACGACGACGATTTCGGAGAGACATTTGCATTTGCAGCATCCTCTCCTCTCCGCTCCTTTCCACTCTATGACAATAATATTTAGAGAGTATGAAATGAAAGGAATCGCAATTTCTAATTCAGTCACTCATAAGTCTCTCATGACAGTCTTTAAACATACATGACTACGCTTTTGTCTCTTCCAAAATTAAATGCCAAACCAAAACAACTCCATCGAAATTCCAATTTATATTAACAACACTTCCTTACATTTTTATCAAAACAACCCTTCTTTCTTTATACACTTATCAAACACCACCTGATATATCTCCTCTCCACTTCTCTTCCCTTCTTTTCTCTTCTCCTTCTTTCATGTTTCACCAAGTAAACGAAACCAAAAAAAGTAAAACAATTTCCTTTTTCTTTTCAACGATGAACAAAAAAAAAAAAAAAAAAAAAAAAAAAACTATTTCACAAATATCACACACTGAAAAATTTGGGGTATGCGATGCCGTCTTTTATTTTGTTGCTTTAAATAACTGACTTCCCGGGATCACCGTAGAGGTTCCTTCCCCCATGATTGTTGTCAAGCTCATCTCTTTCTCAACTATCCGGTCCAGCTCCATTACCACATGGCTCATGCCCGGTCGCCTCTCACTTGAAGCTTCCACACATCGCATGATCAACTGTATCAACCCTTCCATAGCTTCTCCTGTGAAGCTATTCCCCAACCTCTCATCGATGATGCACGATACATTGCTGCCCTCTTGAATATTTTGCACCTTTATACAAGACCCAACAACAATAATAAACAACTTTAGTTTAAAATTTTCACACGCTAACAAGAAATTACCAACGCATTCAAGATTCAACAGTGATGTTGGCAAGTTGTAGCAATTAAACTTTTAACTATCATATTATAAACAGTAACATTCACCGCAGCAAGTTTTTACTTTTTAGTGTACCATCCCCGGTCCTTCAAGAATGATCTAGAGAAGAGAAACTAATATACGCAAACATTTGAATGCACATATAGGATCACATGACTAATGCATTCCAACATTGTACCAACATTTGCAATGAGACAAGCACATACCCATTCAACCATGTTCTGGGTTGAGTCAGAAGATGCAAAATCTCTAGCCTCTCGCCCACTCACTAACTCCAGAAGGAATACACCAAAACTATATACGTCACTTTTTTCTGAAAATCGTCTGAACTCTCTGACCCTGCAAAATCAAACGGAAATTTGACGAAGATTGATAACTATTCTCAGCAGTCACTTGAAGGTTATATGAAACACCGAGAACCAAAAGAGCAATAACCTTCAACACCCCCCTCCCCCAACCTCATCGAACAAAAAGAAACAGAAACAAAAACAAAAACAAAGAGAGAGGGAGAAACTATTACTCTGGAGCAAGGAACATCTCATCAGCAGTCACTTGAGAAGACGAGCCTGCAATATCAACTCTTCCCAGGAAATGGCGAATTCCCGCATCTGCAACCTTAGCTATGAAGTTTTCATCTACGAGAACATTGGCTGTCTTAAAATCCTTGTGCACCAGACGTGGACTCAGAGAGTGAAGATGAGCCAAACCTGCAACCAGAGCAGGTGAATGAGTGCTGACAAATAGGAGAGCGTTGCTTCCAGACTTCTCACAAAAAGAAGCTGGAACTTTGAAACAACTGAAAGTCTTACAGTTGCTGACAAAAGAATTTGAGGGACCAATACTCATATTCGGATATTTTGTCTAAAGAGATGAAAACCTGATACCAGGAAAGCCACAAATGCTCACTGATTTTGCAGATGATCACCTTTAGCGGCCCCTTGAGCTATTGTTAGACGATTCTTGAATTCTAGCTTTTCACGTGAATGCTGACCAGTGCCTGCAAAAAAAAATTGAAGAACTCCATGTGCTCAAATTTAGGCATTATAGATGCAACAATTGCAAAAACAAAAGGGTATAATTTTGACTCAAGAATTAAAAAATGGGGGCTGGATAGAGAGTTACCGTACAAGTGACTGGAAACACTTCCACTATGAATGTACTCGTACACAAGAAACTGTAGATTATTTTCTTGGCAGTAACCCAAAAGAGTAACAATATTCCGATGCTGAATAGCTGAGAGATAGTGTACCTGATATAATATTCAGTCCAGTTAGATCAACCATGATACAACGTTCAATGCAAAAACACAAATAGCAATTCAAAGAGAGAAAAAACTAAAGCATATACCAGTCCATCCAAGTTGGTAAGGAAGAAAAATGAAGCTTCAAAAGAAAAATCTCATTCAAATTTTACGACTTGTACTAGGAGTTTTTTTTTCTTATGTTTTTGTTCAAACAGCATATAGTAGTCACTCTTCAAATGTATATATGTAAGTCAATGCAAACCCCTGACACTTTAAAACAAACTCAAAATCATATATAATACTCGAATGCCGTTAAAGAAGAAAACCGTAATCCATCAAGAGACCTTGTAAGGTTAGGACGGCGATCATTACCTCATTGATAAATTCCTGACTAGCTGTTCCAGGTCGCTTTTTGATGGCTACGAGCATCCCATCCTGGAGAAATCCCATATACACCTCCCCAAATTTCCCTTGCCCAATCAAATTTTTGTCACTGAAATTTTTGGTGGCCAGAGACAGTTCTTCCATCTGAAAACGCCTTGTTTCTCGCATTGACAACTCAACCCCACCATGTCTTCCCACTGCGAGTTATCAAAACAGATAATCAAAAGGTTGTTCTTTACACTACACTAAGTGTGTTTCCCCTAGGAAGAAAATATATATGACATAAGACTGATGAGAATCACCTTGAACAGAAGGATCAGAAGAACCCGTTTCAGAAGTTCTTGAAACAAGCCTATTGCGAAATATACAGAACCATATGAGTAAGATACTTATCCCCACCAAAGCCACGGCTCCTGCAGCACCTCCTAATATTGCTGCAAGAGACGCTGACATTTGGTATGGGAACCACTTCAACTATGCGGGGTAGTATTGTTGTAAAACGAATTATCATACATTGAACCTGGAATACAGAGGATACAAAAAGTAGAAGATGATAATCTACAGAAGGTGTCCATAGAAAGCAAGTGAATTTAAATCCATCAGATCTATCTATTTCTTTTCAATTCCTGTATCCTTATCATTGGTCCACAATTAGATATCTAGAAAACAAGTTGGGCAGCAAGTTGTGAGACCAGGATTGAGAATCAAGGGTGCCAGGCAAAAGCAGTCTTTTGGAAAAAGCAAATCAGACTTGAAAGTTGGAAACTTTAAATCATTAGAAATCAAAGTCAGAGCCTTTAAAATGCCAACTGAGTAGCAGTATATCTATAAGGCCATATAAACAATTTATTTGATTTGAATGCAGATAAACACAAACAGAAATGGAAGTAACAAGATATACCTGTAGTCCCAGTCCCTGTCCCAGTCCCAGAGAAGGAAGGCAGCCGGATGTCTAAAAACTCGAACTTCATTTGCCAATACAACAACAACAACAACAAAGGCAATTGCCACCCAAATCCAATTGAAATTTCATTACATAAAAAGTTGCAGGCAGGATGTATAATTACAGTAAGAAAAGAGGCATGTTTGAATGAAGGAATGAATGAATGGAAGAATATGCAGGTGGAAATCAAAATGTAAAGAGAAGAGGAGAAGAGACGGCAAGCGGAGAAGCATCAATTCGGGTTGTAATTTGGATATTAAAGGGAAATGCAATCAAACATTCAAATATCAATATCATCGTTGGATACAGACAATGGCGACAGAAAGTGACCTTGCGCCGACAACACTTGTACTGCTACTTCTCCCTCACTCCCTCTACCAAACCACCCAAATTCAACTTGATCAGTACAAACTCATCGTATACTAACATAACAAACCAAATTAAATACAAATTATATTCTCTCTCTCTCTCTCTCTTGAATTTTGATGATGATGGATATATAATTATAGTTGTAGACTCTAGTTCAATCAATCAAAGAGACCGACAGAAAACCCACCCCACCCCAGGCAACTGCAATCAACCCACCAAACGTTTATTCCCGAGCACCAAAACAATAAAATAAAGGCATATGGATCAAGTATGAACCAGAATAAGAGAGAGACAGACAGAGTGCGTGTCAGTCAGTCTCTGTGTATTTATATTCTATCTTTCTTTTTTTTCAAAAAGGAAAAAATAATAATTGAATTTAGTGTTTTTTTTCTTTTTTTCTTTTTTGTGTGGGCTGTAAAGCAGAATAAGTATAAGTTGTCTGCTAATGCAACTATGCAAGTTGGGAACTCTGAGAGGGAGGGGTCTTGTTTTGTGTCGTGTACAGCAAATACCAATACAGGACATCTTTGGCTGGCTCCAAGTCTAAACACATCTCTTCAAATTACATTACATTACTTTACACCATTGGTGGGACTAGCGGCACAACAAAAAAACTGTCTACTCCTGCGTTAAGCTCGTCATTTTATCCAAGTCAATTACACACTACAACGATCTAAAAAAATTTGAACACATAATAATGCACAATTAACTTAAAAACTTGATTGCACAAAAAAATATAGAAAGACGAGAACAATACAAGCCCAGCTTGACAGCAAATTTTAGACACATATACATTAGTGTAATACGTATATACTCATATATATCTCTTTTTCTGTTTTTGTGTATAAAAGCATTCAACAAAGAATATAAAAAGAGACGGAGAGAGAGAGAGAGAGAGAGAGAGAGAGAGAGAGATGGGAGTTGGGCCGCCCAGCTATCAGCTATGTTGACATGGCTCCTACTGAGCAATTAAATAAGACATTAAACTATTGCCTAAATGCATATATTATATACAAACCATAATAAGCAAAGTGACCTCTACGGCGCTCTCACTCTCTGTCTCCTGCCTTTTTCACCATTGGTTCTTTAAATCCTTTTGCTCATGTCATGTAATAAGCTCGTTGAAAGGATTCTTATTCCTCCTCTTATCATATTATTACCACCACCACGATGATGATTGATGATTGCTAACAAATAATAATAAAAACAATATTTAAAAACCAGGCAGAGTTGTTTGCATGAGAAACTAACATGTTTCATTGTTTCTTTTTTCTTGGCTCTTGAACAAACAACCAAAACAAAAAAAATTCGGAGCTTTTGGATTTTATAGTATGAATCTGATGAGTATGATTGGAATGTAACTTGTTTAATAACATCCACGACTGAAAATGTTATGCAACACCAAAGCAAAACGGGAAGAATGATATTATATGAATAATGATGATATGTACCAACCAGAAAAAAACCTAACTAGTTATTAATGTCAACGTCTAAAATTATTTGGGTGTTCAATAATTTCCTACTAATTGCAACCATTGAGGATTTTTTTTTTTTTTTTTTTTGGGTATTTCTTTCTCGTGTCTCTCACAATTAAACTAATTTTTGTATATTTAAAATTTAGAGAAAATTTGAAATAGGTCCAATTTTATAGACTACCTTTTGAAATATGTCCAATTTTTAGTGACTTTTGACTTTTGAAATAGGTCCAATTTTTAATTACTTTGGACCTATTTCAAAAAACCCCTTAAATTTAACACCTTTTTTAAGGTTATGAAAAAAAAAATCACTAAAAGCTTATTGAAATTTGATTCAAACATATTTTACTGTGCAGCAGCAGTTTGCGGAGAATTGAACAACATAGATTCAATGATTAATGTTCCACTCCGTTCCACATATGATCGAATTCAACTATGGAGGTTGCAGAGCCATATAAAATTTGGGAAGAAATTTAATGTGAAATGGTAAGCTGTCAACATTTGATATCATACAACAGTCTGACTAGAATAAAGGCAAGTGTCAAGTCTACCTTATTCTGTTTTCAGCCCTTCCCGAGGTATACATATGTATATGCTACTAGTGAGTGAGAGTAGGTTAAAAGACTAGACAGCTAGAATAGAAGATAAGTTCAATGTTATATTCATTTTTTTGGTAAAAGGGCAAAACATTTCGCATATCATGTTACTTTAACACGACATAACACGCTGACACAGATTTTTTTTTTATATTTTTTTTTTATAAATAAGGATACAAACACAGGAAATTAAAATAAGGTGTATTTGTCGATTTTCTCTTTGAATTTTTAAGAAGTTTCTAATTTTCTTCTAAACTTTAATTTTAACTGATTACCTCATAAACTTTTGTAATTAATCAATTTTCCTTTTGAATTTTAATTTTATAATTGGCAACTTTCTAATAATGAATTTTTGGAGATGAGTAATTACCCTTCTTATTTGAATGGGGGCAATTGTCATGTGTTGTGTATGTGACAAAGATAGATGCAAATTTGAATTAAAAATTCCAAACTCTAACGTTAGGGGAGAAATTGACTAATTTTAAAAAATTAGCAGACAATCAGGCTAAAATTAAAGTTCATGGAGGAAAGAAGCCAATTACAAAAGTTTAGGCAATAATTGGTTAAAATAAATTGGCAACTCTTTACAAATTCGGAGAAAAAAAATCGACAAATACTTCTTAAAATATAATAACTATAAATAGGCTACAAACATCATATAAAATCAAAACACAAAAATTGATGTTCATTGTTTAACTATCATCATGAGTTAACACCAAATAAAATAAAATAGAAAATAGCATCAAACATATTCAAATAAGATAACACATATTGTAACTTCAAGCAACTTCACTCAACAATGAGAAATTTTTCATTGTGATTGGAATAAGGGTGGTACACCATGTGTTTTTAATTTTTAATTTTTTATAGAAAAAGACTGCATTAAAAAGAAAAGCCCCTAGGGCAATCGGTTTGGGTACAATCAAAGAAGAAGGCCTGATGAGCTTCCAAAGGAAGAGTTCTATCCCAAGCATGAAAATCAGAGACCAAATAACCCACACTAGTTATAGCATTTGCCAGAAAATTGGCTTCCCTAAGGACATGCTTGAGCCAATCATTAAAAGGAAGAAATTGATTTAATCTTATGTTGTTAGAGATAGCTTGAAAATTCAAAACTAGCCTCGCAAAATTACAATTTATAAATAAGTGAGATATGTTCTCATCCTTTCAATTACATGTAAGAAAGGTGGATGGGATATTATTGGCAATCTTGATAATCTATTTCTTGTATGAAGCCTTCCAATTATGAGAAGCCAACTAAAAATTTTAACTTTATGAGGGAGTTTGAGCTTCCACATTTTCTTAAGAAGCTCTCTTACATTCTCATTGTTATTATCACAATTTTTTATCCAAGTTCCCTACTTAACTGAAAACTTACCATTTGCATTAGGCCCCCAGCAACACATATCACAGTGGAGAGTTAAGGGGAAGGGGAATACTACAAATTTTATTCACAATGTCCTTATCAACTAGTGATCAATGATGATCTCTGTCCCATTGTCCATTATTAATGAATTGACTCACCTTTACATTCAGATCGATATCATTAACATGACTGGGATAAATAAAGTTGGATAAAGGGTAAGAAAAAACCCAGTTATGGGTTCAGAAGAAGATGCTCTCTCCATTTCCCACAACCCACCTCAGTCTCATTCTAATATTATCTTTAGCCTTAAGGATACCTTTCCAGGCACATGAGTAGTGCTGTCAGACTTTAGTGTTAAGGAAATCCTTCCTCTTCACGTATTTATTCTTAACAATCTGTACCCACCACTTTTGGTTATCCATTAGGACTTTCCAACCAAGTTTTGCTAAACAAGCATTATTAAAGTGATCACTTTTCCTAATACCCTATCCCCCATTTTCCTTAGAGCTGCAAACTCTATCCCAAGCCACAGGGACAAGTTTGCAATCTTTTTCCCAAAAAAAATTCCTACTTTCTCTGTCTATAGTTTTTGTGATTTTCTCAGGACACTTAAAACAAGACATATTATGATTTGGGACACCTAAGAGGTTAGCCTTAATGAGAGTCTTCCAGCTTTAGAAAGGGTATTTGCCTTCCAACCAGCTAGTTTGTTTTTTATCTTGATAATTAGTTCTTTTGTGTATGCCTAGATACCTACCAATAGTGGGTTTATGTTGAATAGCAAGAATATTAACAATATCAATTCTGGTATGGTTAGGACTGTTATTTGAAAAATATAGTGAAGACTTATGATAGTTTGTCTTTTAGAAGCTTAAGCAAAGTTATCTAGCACCTTAGCAATATTCCTGGCTATAGTGCCAGTCGCATTGGCAAAAATCAGACAGTCATTTGCAAACATCTTTAGTAATTCTATAACCTCTAGGCTCAGTCAATAGACCAACATTACTTCTAGATGATGCTCCCAACTTATCCAAGTGTCTAATAAAGGGTTCCATACAAATGATAAAAATATAAGGAGACAGAGGGTCTCCTTGTCTAATACCTCTAGTAGGGCATAAATAACGATGAGATTTACCATTAATCAGGATAGAAAAGGATGTCAAAGTAATGCACTCCATGATAAGCTTGATCCAGTTATAATTAAAACCAAATTTAACAAGCACACCTTTAATATATTCGCAACTGAGGAAGTCATAAGCCTTTTTAAGGTCAAGCTTAATGGCCATAGCACCCCTTCTACCTTTTTTACTCTTAAAAGAGGCAAAGAGTTCATGCGCAATGAGGTTATCATCCTGAATGGATCTATCAGAGGGTCTCACCATGTGTTTTTATATAAGTGGTAGATTTTTTTTTTTAAGTGATTAACTGTTAACATACATATTCTACCATTTGTACAAAGGACACGTGATGTATCATCCCGTGTTCCGATCACACTGAAAAATCTCTCCTCAACAATGATATTCATATCATCATTGGTGAAAAATATAGCCTCAAAATCTGGTTCATCACAATCTCTAGCATTACCCCTAAAACAATTTTTCATATTTCATTACAATTTCAAAATTATGTACGCTTTAATATGTTTCATCGTCATCAAAACACCATAATCACTTCTTTGGAGAAGATGACATCTTGATCTTGCAGAGAGAACACGAACACGAGGACTAAGGTAGATGCAAGCTTTTCTATGCACTCCTACTCCTTAGTCACAAACTGATGGGGTGTTTCTAGGGTTTATGATTGTGGAGAAATTTTTCATTGTGGCGGGAATCCGAATGGTAGACCACATGTTTTTATGTAAGTG